CACACAAGCTCACACATACACACACTCGCTCACACACTCACAACTAGTTTACACACACTCATACACAAACTCACACAAGCTCACGCACATGCACACGCATCGACACACAAGCTCACACATACACTCAAATCTAGTTTACACACTCTCACACTACAAATACATTTACATAGCTTATTTGGGCTATGTGCTTAATAGAAACAGGGGCGGACTGGGGCTAAAAAGTGGCCCTGGACTTTTTGGCACAGAGCGGCCCACCACACCATAAACCACTGGTCTCAAACTCAATTCCTGGAGGACCACAGCTCTGCTCCTCCAACCCTAATCAAACACACCTGATCCAGCTTATCACGCTCTTCAGGATCAGAAGCAGCAGTGATTTGGAGCTAAACTCTGCAGAGCTGTGGCCCTCCAGGAATTGAATTTGAGACCACTGCCATAAACCCACCAGCTTATTAGAGCTATTTGTAACACCGCTTACTAACATACAAATATTACACAAAACAGAAATAAAAATGCTTTAAAAAAATTTATCATTAACATTAATGAATGACTGTCATACTTCTTTACATTATAATTTGTCTTTCCTGGTGTATATGGCAATTTGTAAATAATATCTCTTTTACATAGAGGGACAGTTTAATATCACTAAAGTTAAATGCCTACCATAACATCAGTCCATATAACAACGCTCTGCTCTAGAAGACTTGGAATGTGGACTGTATTTATTGTGCATTTCAATAGCTTGACAAGAGTTTTGTTGTTGTTGTTGTTGTTTATACATGATGATGAAAAATACAGTAAACTGCAATATGTGAAATATATAAATTTACAATTTAAAACAGATGTTTTCTATGCAAATACAGTGGGTACGGAAAGTACTCAGACCCCCTTAAATTTTTCACTCTTTGTTATATTGCAGCCATTTGCTAAAATCATTTAAGTTAATTTTTTTTCCTCATTAATGTACACACAGCACCCCATATTGACAGACATGATCTTCAGAAATCATTCTAATATGCTGATGTGCTGCTCAACAAACATTTCTGATTATTATAATTTCATATTTTGTGGAAAATGTGATACATCACCATTCAGTCTGGAGTAAGATTTTAAAAAATCAATACTTTTATTCAACAAGATTGCATTAAATTGATTTAATTGACAGTAAAGATATACTTATTACAAATTATTTATCTATATGGCAAATCACAGGTCAAATTGCACGCTTTTGACGTGTCGGTGTACAATCAGACGCCCAACCAGCCCTATATGATACTCTGGCTTGCCATACACCCACGTCATAATTACGTTAATATTAACCGGCAACCTGGAACTTTCACGTCATTGCAATTATGCCTTTCTATGGAAAGACTATAAACGGCAAATTAAATCAGTGCAATCTGAGTAATCAATAGATAAAACAAATCAAAGTAATCAAACAATAAAGTCCTATCAGTTAATGACGGTTTATGCATTAACAAATATTAACTAACAATGAGCAATACTTCTGTTACACTATTTATTAATCTTTAGTAACGTTAATTAATAAAAATACAGCTGTTCATTGTTAATGTTTGCTCAGCTCCATTAAATGATATTAACAGATACAACTTCTGATTTTTATATTGCATTAGTAAATGCCACAATTAAATTTAACTAGACTGCAAAAGAGAGCATTTTTTTCTTCAGTATTTGTGTCTTGTTTTCAAGTTTGAATATCTAAACATCCAAAAATCAAGACACATTTACTGGAGGAGCAAGATTATTTAAGATATTAAGTCCCGCACAATTGTATCAAAATTAAATGTTTTAAATTATCAAACATTTAAGCTTAAAACTAAACATTTTCAGCTGATTTATTATGAAACGGAGTTTAAGACAATATTTTTTTTGCATCATAAGTAAATGCATCTGGATTCATAAATGTTAAGATATTTGGAAAACAAAAAATATGCGGGAAGAAAATCATATTTTGCAGTGTGAAATTAATAAATGCTTTAGAAGTATTTTTTAGTGTTAGTTCATATTAGCTAATGTAGTTAACTAATATTAACAAATGCAATTTTACTAAGTTGTTATGCAAATGCATTATTAATAAATGTATTGTTTATTTGGCTCTGTACTATAGTGACTAGTATTAAACTATTGCATGTTTTTCATTTGGATTTTAGATTAATCCTGCATCATGACACTAACAATACATAATTATAGCAATCATTATATAAAAAAAAAATTACAAAACTACATTTCACTGCATTTGACTTTATTTCAAGGAAGTGAGCACATTTCTCAGTGGGACTCTTGTAACTGTGTGAATACACTTCTCTAGACGTGAGGAGCTCTTGCTGCTGTGGTTGTGAGCTGTGAGACGGTTTCTTTATTAGTTTGAAGGTGAATAATAAATATGACACAGTGTATAAAACCATACAGTGGAAGCGTGGGGTGCGGTGAGTGTTAGACGTCGTCCTCAAAGGTGCGCATGCGTGTTTTGAGCGCCAGC